CTCCTAAGACTCAGTTTTTAAGTACAAAAGAAAAAGTGCAGAAGGATGCAGCTAGACTATATATCTGGTGGAGACTATATAAACTAGGGAGAGATAGGAATCCAGAGCCACGTTCGCATCGATCTCCTTAAAGAAAGTCTTAAAATGGGATATAGGAAACAGAGTGGGCATGAAGGAGTCAACTCTAACCAAAAGGGAACAGATTTTTCACTGCACTTTTCCCAGTCTATTTTATTCTTGAGCATTGTAAATATATTACCTATTAAAGAAATTACGGGCTGGGTGCAGTGGCTCATGCCTGTAATCCCAGCACTTTGGGAGGCCAAGGCAGGTGGATCACCTGAGGTCAAGAGTTCGAGACCAGCCTGGCCAACATGGTGAAATCCCGTCTCCACTGTATCCCAGCTACTCAGGAGGCTGAGGCAGAATTGCTTGAACCCAGGAGGCAGAGGTTGCAGTGAGCCAAGATCACACCACTGCACTCCAGTTTGGATGACAGAGCAAGACTTTGTCAAAAAAGAAAGAGACAGAGGCAGAGAGAAAGAGAGAGAGAGAAAAAAAAGAAAAGAAAGGAGGAGGAAGAAAAAGGAAGCAAGTAGGTAAATAAAGGTATGAAAAACAGACACAGCTGGCTGTGTGCTGATATAGAATATCCCTAGGTATATTGCCATGGGGGAAAAGCGTGGCTTGGCACATGCACAGAGAGCACCCATCTGTGGTTAAGTGAGGATATGGGTTTTATGTAGAACTATGCATCCACTCACCCTGGAATGAGACACATGGCATGCGGTTGCCTGGGGTGAGGGCAGCTGTGGGGCGTGGTCAGTCAGGAATGAGAGAGATTACATTTTCATGATGACCCTTTCTACCATTTGAGTGCTTTGTCTTATGTCTGTGTACTTTTTTTCAAAGAATAAAACAATTCCATCAGTAAACAGCTAAATGAGCTGAGGCTACAGGGACACGATGGGTTACTCTACAACAGTTTACAAGGAAGGAAGATAAGTCTCAGAACATAAGTGGCGGGGCATGGTGGCTCATGCCTATAATCCCAGCACTTTGGGAGGCTGAGGCGTGATTGTTTGTGAGGAGCTCCCAAAGCCTTTTTACAATAAGTATAAAGTAGTACTGTTAGGTGCCCATTTCTTATTTTTTCAATCCTCCCCAAGCTGTGGGGAGAAGAATGATCTTATGTGGATTAACTGACAAGTAAACAGGCTCAGAGAGGGTGAGGAACTCGTCCAAGGTCGCACAGGATAAGGTGGCAAGCTGGGCCTTGCACTTTGATCTGGAAATCCAAAACCTGGCTCTAGCTATGTCTCCTGATCTTGTTTATTTTGGGGATGGGAGGTTCTAGAGTGCTTTGGAGAGGGAAAAGGGGCACTTCAGGAATGGAGACTCATCAGGGGCCAAGGCCATCAGGGAGGGCTTCCTGGCATTCAGAAGCAAGGAGGATCAGGACAGACCAGAGCTTATACAGAGGCCTGACAGTTAGTAGGCATCCTTGAGGCCCAGGACATGGAAGCTGTGCAAATGCCCTGTGGCAGTAAGGCCATTTGGTTTGACACCTCTGTCCTTCCATTTTGCCCCACCTCCTGGGATTGGGGGTGGCCACACAATTCCCACTTTGTGGGTGAATAACAGATCAAAAGCCTCACCTCACTGGGCAGGTGGCAGGGTGGCACATGCTTGTAGTCTCAGCTACTTGGTTGGCTGAGGCAGAAGGATTGCTTGAGCCTAGGAGTTTGAGGCTGCACGTCACAGCACTCTAGCCTGGGTGACAGTGAGACCCCTACTTCAGGACACATTCTGACACTGAATGGAAAGTATAACTCCTCCAGGAATTGGGGGCCTTTCTACCCACCTCGTCTTCCTCCCACATACCAGGAACATTCATCAAATTCTGGGAAACAGACGGGTTTGATGAGGAGTTAGCTTCCATCTTCTCATTTATTTCCTGCTCCGTGCAGCCTTCTCTGATCCCTCTGGGAGAAGCACATCCTCTGGGCACCTCTCTCACTGACCAAGAGCCCCTGGAAAGTGGGCACTGGGCCCATGATCCCCACCTTTATAATGCCCTTTATAATGCCACTGCCTTTATAATGCCAGACCCTGGTCAGGTAGCAGCAAAGCCGCTCATGGTCATTAAGACCATGGGCCAGAAAAGTCAGAAAAATCACTCCTGTGGAGGAGAGCTGTGAGATCTTGGGCAAAGAACTGACCTCTGAGCCTCAGTTTCCTCAACTGTAAAATGGGGCAGACTAAGGATCTAAGGCCCTTGGCAAAAGGCCTGAGCCTAGTGCTGGCCTGATAGATGGGAGGTACCGTGGCTTCCCAGCAGATGGCGGTACCTGTGTGGATGAACCCCCACATGCCCCATTTCAGACCCAGTGAAACTGTCTTGTTACCAGAGAAACAGCCCAGGATGCAGCTTCTCCAACAAGCAGATTTCTAAGGCACTAAAATGTGCAGGTCATTTTCAGAACTCTGATGGGAGACCCTCATCCTTCCCAAAGTCACTGCAGGTAGGGGGCAAAGAGAGCCCACTTCCTTCACACTCAGTCCCTAAGAGTCAAGAGACCCAAGTGCTAAGCTCCATGACAGGACTCCTGGCGAGTCCTTCTGGCTAGACCTCAATGTCTACATCTGTGTGATGGGACCCTGATGCTCAGAGCTGGACTGCTGAGCCCACGAGGGATGCCCCTCTACCCCCCTTTCCCCAATCAAGAACACAAGCCTTCTCTGGAAGAAGCTACCAAGACCCTTGCAGCCCACAGCATCCTCCTCTTACTCCCATTCCTTCCGTTGCCTCTATTGCCCCTATTGCTACTCTCTGCAGCCTCGAACTCCCAGACACAAGGGGTTCTCCTACCTCAGCCTCCCAAGTAGCTGAGACCACAGGTG